CTGCCATATGGGAAGGAGAAGGCACGGAGATGAATGGATCAGGGTTTGTAATCTTCTTTCAGCAAGGAAAATCAAGTCAGGGTGAGGCAGGGAATAACGAGATGATGTGTTCATTTAAAACTCAATGGCTTCTGTTTTGTTAGGGAATTTCCTTTTTATTTGAGACTGCATTTTAAATTGCATTATCATATACAAGTAGATGCTGGTCCATCACTCTTGGCTTCTCCGCTCACAGGAAGCCCTGGCTCTCCTGCATGGCAGCATGTGTCAGGGAGTCTCCGCTTTGGCTTTTCCAAAAGTCATGCCTGGGTTTTGGCCCTGCGTGGTGGTAACCAGCTCTGAACATTTCAACTGTCTGCTTGTGTGTGCTTCCAAGGCAGTCAGGACAGCCTTCCCGCAAACCTCCTCTGCTTCCAGGCTCATTCAAAGCCATTTCTTTGCTCCTTTTAATGCCTATTCCAACATCATGGCTCAATTCTTTAATTTTTTTTTTTTTTGCCATAAACGTCTCTTGATGCCATTTTCTGTAACTTATACCTTACGCAGTCCTTTTTTTCTTTCAATCTGGAAGAGATACCAGGACACGGTTTTTGTGAAAGATGCCAGAAAGAGCAGCATCAGGAAAAAAAATGGCTTTTTTTTTTTCCCCTCTTCCTCTTGATTGATTAACCTTGAAGGCACCAATGGGAAAGCCAGTAGCATCAATAAGGGTGAGCACAGAGCATTGGAGAGGGAAAAGGGCTACTAGTACTCCCTGATTCCTCTTTTTAAAACACAGAGTGGAAAAGAAATAGGATTTCTTTTTTTTTCCCCACATTTGGCTTTCTGGGCAAGTTGTTCCAGAGGGCTGTCATGGTAGGCTGCACAAGGAATCCCACACGCATGGAGTTTCATGCTTTAATTTATTATGCTGGTTCAACTTCAGACCCCCTTGCAAAAAAAACAAAACAAAGAATATTTTATCTTCCTGTGTGTGCTCCCTCATGGGGTGCCTCGTCGGGTGCCACTTGGAGCACAGACAGGTAACCACAGCCACGCACAGGGCTGTGTTTGGTCCCCTCACTGCCTTGGTGAAACCCACTGGTGGTGGGGATGCTCCCCAGTGGATAAATAACCAGTAACGATGAAAAAATATGGTTCAAACCAAATAGCCAGTGTTATAACCCCTTTGAGCCCAGGATTTTGAGGGCAGGGTGGGAAACTGACAGCACCTCTAAATCAGCCAATTGAATTTAACTCCTTGTACTGATCAAATTATTGAAGCCCGTTTTTCTCTTTCTGGAGGCTGGCACGCACAGGGCACAAGAGCTGGGAAAGAAGCCAGGGAAAGGGTTTTGGGTGAGTCCAAGGAAAAGGGTTTATTTGGGCTGGCAAAACTCACACAGGCTGCCACGAGGGGCCTGGGGCTGCTCAGTGGGGAGGGGAATCCATGGCAGTTATAGTTTCTTAACTGACTTTTCACTGACCCAATAACTGAACAATGTTTCCTAGTATAAATTTCAAAATTCAGAGGAAAAAAGATATTTCACCCAAGCTGTTCTTCAGCAAGGTCCCTGCCTCCTCACCCTGCTTGGCCCTTCTCACCTTCTTTGACATAGGAGTGCTTTCATCCATCACAAGCCATTGGGAGGGAGCTCTAAAATAATTTTAGAGCTCAATTTTACCCTGAAGCAGAGCAGGAGCAAGGGCACGGGAGCTAAAGGGATGTACCATCAGAAGAACAGTCCTTTCCTAAACCACACAACCACATCCACACCAGCCAGACAGATCATTTGACCAGAAAATGTGCAGGAAAAACACATGTACCCATGGAAAAGCCCCTTTCTCCACCTCTGGATGTGCCAAGTTGTGCTCTCACTGCCATTGGGAGGGAGCTCTAAAATAATTTTAGAGCTCAATTTTACCCTGAAGCAGAGCAGGAGCAAGGGCACGGGAGCTAAAGGGATGTACCATCAGAAGAACAGTCCTTTCCTAAACCACACAACCACATCCACACCAGCCAGACAGATCATTTGACCAGAAAATGTGCAGGAAAAACACATGTACCCATGGAAAAGCCCCTTTCTCCACCTCTGGATGTGCCAAGTTGTGCTCTCACTTGCCTGTCACACCAAACTGTGGCCCCAGGCTCAGCTGCTGCTCCCACCTTCTCAAACCCAACCAGTGTTACCTTCATGCTACCAGCGGGTGTGAATGATCCTGTGGTGAATTTTCAATGAGCAGCAGGACAACGAGAATTTTTTCTGTAGCCACTAAAATCCCAGGAGCCCCCATTTGCTGCAGCAGCTCCAGAAAACACAGCAGCATCCCCCATCCCCTCCCATTCTTCTTTATACCCATTACAATTCTGCTTGCAGCTGGCAAATACTGACCGTTCTCCTTCCTCTCTTTTTTCCTCTTTCTCTTTGGGAAATGAGGATGTGTCTGCTTTGGCATTGAAGGGTTTGTAAGATGCACCCCTTGCCCCAACAGCTGATGCCATGCTGAGCTGTCTGGATAGGGAAAAAAATCTCTCCAGATGGCAGAAGCTCGCTTTGCTGCTAATTTACAAGGAATAATGCAGCTGTACCACCCAGGGAAGCACGAGCCATCCCACGCAGGCTGGAGAGTCTTGCATGAGCATTAACGGGTGCCAGCTGGGGCTGGGTGCAGGATGGTGGGAGGGAGGAAGGCTCCCTGCAAGTGTCTCCCTGCTGCTGCTGCATGGGAGGACACCAGCCCTTCACACAGGGCTGCCCCTCTTTCCCTGGGGGAACGCCACTGGCTGGAGCAGGGTGTCTGTAGGATACGATGCACAATGACATCTCAGGGTGGCTGATGAAGCCTGAAGTCACCTTAGCTTCAGAAATGCTTGTTTTCTTTGCAAAAGCAAAATATTGTCTAGATCCTCTACTAGCACCAAAAAAAAAAAAAAAAAAGTGCTTTCTAATGACTCATCAATCTTGTCTCCCTTTTGGCTTTTACCTTTTCTGTCTTTTTTTTTCCTTTCTGCTCTCTCAATAGCTGGGGAGGGCACTGCTGCTCTGTGTGCTCCCCAACCACCTTCCCCACGCTCGGCAGGAGGCAGGGCCAGGCCCACTATGGCCACCACTGCCCCTGACCTGCTCCATGCTGGCACCTCCCGGCCTCTTCCTCCTCACTTTCCACCAGGCTGCAACCCCGTAAAAGTGCTGTAGTTCATGCCTGGGTGCAGCCTGCCCGGGGGACAAGGCGGTTGCAATGTACCCAGCAGGAAAGCTCGAATAAAAAGGGTGGAAAAGCTGAAGAACCTTGGGGGGCAGGAGGTATTGCTGCTGCTGCTGCACGAAAAGATAGGACTTTCCATCTCCAGCCAACTTTACATATTGAAAGGCCACAAGGTCTCCCTGGATCCTTCTCTTCTCCAGGCTAACAACCCCAACTTTCTCAGCCCTTCTCCATAGCAGAGGTGTTGCAGTTCTCTGACCATTTCTGTGGCTTCCTCTGGACCAGTTCTAACAGGTCCATGTCTGTCTTGGTGCCAGGGATCCCAGAGCTCATACAACCAGTTCTCCCTGTAGCCCAGTGGTGGCGGATGCAGCAGGTTTTGTTATAATCCTATTTTTTTTGATCTTGCTCATCTCCAAAGGAGCTCTTGTCAGAAGTGATGCCAGAGGTCAGGAGAGCCATTGGTCACCTTTTAACTGCTAAGAAGGCTTTTGGCTAGTAGTCAGCAGCAAGCCAGAGGAGGCAAGGAAGGGAGGAGTCATGGGGAGAGAAAGGGTGGGTGTAGTTTATAAGCAGAGAAAAATAGAAAGGAAAGAATTTGTCTGCAGACAGTGAATGGACCACCTTCATGAGCTTGATCTGGCTCCTCTGGGGCTGCCAAACGAGCCTCTGTCTGCCAAGTGGTGCATGTTCTCGGCTGCCCCCCTGGCAAGGTAGTTGAAGGTGATTTGGGTTCTGAATGTGATTTAGTTTTTGCTAAAGATCTGCCCTCTCCCCACCAAGTACTCCTTCCTGGAAGGTTTGTGGGTCCCTGGGAAGTTCCACCCTCAGCATCACCAGGGATGGTACTGAATGACTTGGGCAGTAAAGATGAAGCCAACTCTTCACTTGGTTGCCTTCCCCACCTGGCACTGCCTGAGTCGGGATTAACCACTCCACAGGCACTGGGCAAAGCCAGTGGGCAGCAGTGGGGTGTTGTGGGGTTGGTGGGTCCAGCTGAATCCCCCTGCAAACTTTTCCTTGTCCTCCTCCTTCAGAGCGAGCCCGGGATTACCTGCACAAGACTGGACGCTTCATCGTCATTGGTGGCATTGTCTCACCCGTGCACGACTCCTATGGGAAGACGGTGGGTCATCCCCATTTTCCCTTTCTGCATCATATGGCTGATGGTGTCTCAAGTCAGCGTCAAGCACTGGGCAGTGCTGCCTGCACCTGTGGTCCTTTCATGGACCTCCTCTACCCACAGCAGGCCCTGACCATGGGAAAGTCTCCAAGAGGATGGAGCGGATAAACCCATTTGCTTTTTAGATAAAAACTGCAGCGAGATCCTACAACCAGCCAAAGTACTAGACAGCAAAGAGGAATGTTCTCACCCAAGTAGGGATGGTCATCTTGTTGGGTTGGGCTTGGGATTCTTTCGTTTGAATGATTTCAAAGCCAATTTTATTGTGGGGATGGTGACAATGCAAACAGGGACCTTTAAAAGCACCTTCGGGGGGGGGGCGGGAAGAATGTTCTCACCCAAGTAGGGATGGTCATCTTGTTGGGTTGGGCTTGGGATTCTTTCGTTTGAATGATTTCAAAGCCAATTTTATTGTGGGGATGGTGACAATGCAAACAGGGACCTTTAAAAGCACCTTCGGGGTCGGGGGGAAGGACAGAATCCAAATTAGGAGAGGAAAGGATTTAATCTTCTCCTGAAAGCTGGAGAAATTTCTTTGAGAAACCACCATCCCCAAGACTGGCCCTACTGCATTGCCAGGCTGAGAGCAGAAGTGCTGAGCAAATCTCACCGACTGGTTGTAAGCACAGCTGAAGTAAGGCAGGGACTCTCCTCCTCCAGCAAACAGGAGCTTAAGTAACTTTTTGTGGGCAGGAATTAATCCTTCTGAGCAAGCCCAATGCTCTGCCCCGGGAAGGTTTGGAAGCCCAGGCTGTCCAGGGCATGACATTTGGCTCCTCCCCATAACTGCTCCCCCATCATCCTCTCTTTGCAGGGTCTGGTCTCAAGCCGGCACCGCCTGACCATGTGCCAGCTGGCTGTCCAGTCCTCCGACTGGATCAGGTGAGCTTCATTAAAAACCAGAGGCCTTCCTCTCCTAGTCCATCAGAGAATCCAAGTGGGCCCCTTTGTCTTCAAGGAATCTTGCAAGTACCCGGGTAAAGCCCGTATTGACCTAACTCACCCCAGCCTCGTGCCGTGGCACCTTCCCTTTCTACACCTGCAGCACCAGCCCATGGACTCTCCCCTTCCCAGCATTGCCACGTGGTGTCTGTTGGCTGAGGTGGGATCAGAAACATCTCTGGGTTGCCCTCAGGAAGCAGGGTCATAAGACATGTAGATACATCCAAGCCAAATGAAAGATGGTTAGTTGGGTACCAAGGGAGGAAAGGCATCAGGGAGCACATCAGGCCATTAGGGAGAGCTGGGTGGAAGGGCTGGAAAAAGGACATGGTCCATAATAGAGCTTGGGGGACAAGGGTGGCCGTTCCCAGTACTGCTGGCAAACCCAGTGGGGAGGAGGTAACATGGCCAAGAGGTCCAGGCAGGGGCCAACACTGTTGCCTTGCTGTGCTCCCTACAGGGTGGACCCCTGGGAGTGCTACCAGGACACCTGGCAGACCACCTGCAGCGTGCTGGAGCACCACCGTGACCTGATGAAGGTAAGGCAACTCCCACGCTGTGGGTGCATCTCAGGGTAAGGGCACAGGGAGAGTGCAGGAGTGGGGTTGCTCTTGCACCAGCACGTGGACATCAACAACCAAAACATGGCTGAGACAGTCAGAGAGAAGGCTTGCAGGAACGTGTCTGAAATCCTGACCCAGAAGAGTTGTCACAGCTGCTTTGAGCTCCTTGCCCTGATGGTGAAAGCAGATTGAGCCCTCCAGCTGGAGCCAGTGGCTGTGCATACCAGGAGAGGTGCAGGGCTGATGGCAGGGATGGGCATAAGCCAGATCATTGATGTTGACCACTTGCTCCACCCCAAGGGGAAGGAGAGGTGGGTGGGTGTCCCAGCTGAGCTGAAACTGTTGTATACACCCACCGGAGCGGCTCAGTAAGATGGGAAAATTCAGCAGCTGGGAAGTCCCAATGGAGCACAAAACCCAGGAGGACAAGTCTCTTCAGAAGCCCAGGAAGGCCTGAGGGCAAAAAAGGAAGGCAACTGCCCTCGGGTGACCGAGGGGCACAGCTGCTGCCAACACTTGGATATAGCAAAGGTGGAAAACCAATAAAACAGCATCATACACACTTGTGGGCAGCACAGGCAGGAGGCACAGAAGCAGCATTAAGCAGCCCAGCAGGATGTCCAGTCCATCCAGGTGTTGAAGCGAGGAAGCCCCCAGGGGTGCCTTCCTTCTCCTGCAGGGACTAGGGGAGAAGACAAGTGCCCAAGTTTGCTCCCTGGGCAATGTGTAAGCTGCTGCCTTTGCACCACTGATTCATCAGCTGCTGTGTTTTTATTTACTCATCAGGATTTATAAGCACCTCCAGGTGTTGAGGGCAATGCCCCCCTGCAGGCAGCATAGCTCCAGCCTTGACTGCCTCATGGGTCCTCACAAAAATGTAATCCCACAGTCTCCAACCTTAACCACAAGTTGGTAGCCACTGGGTCCTGCTAGTTCTGGGACCATCCAGTGAGGTCAGATGGGATCAGAGATCCTAAAGCAAGCCTGGACATACCTGTCACTGAAGATGGCCTTCAGCCTTGGGTGCAAAGTCTTGATATGGGGGTTGGAAAGGTCTCGGGAGCCAACTGAGGTGAAGGTGCTGGTCTGGCTACTTCTCTCTCTTGTTACAGAGAGTGACTGGCTGCATCCTCTCCAATGTCAACACCCCCTCCATCACCCCCGTGATCGGCCAGCCCCAGAACGAGTCCTCGCAGACCATCTACCAGAACAACAACAACGTCTCCAACAAGCCCACTGCGGGTAGGTGGCAGGGGGGGTACAGAAGGGAGGGGGTGACCACCCTCCACTCACCTCACAGCCAGGACTGCTGAGTGTTAGGAATGGTGCTCCATCCTCTTATTTCTGGGTCAGGTCTGTTCATCAGCCTCCATGCACCAAGTCTAGGGTTGGGTGGAGATGCGATGCCAGGGAGGGGAGCTGGAGTAGCATCCACCACAGTGAGGGGAACCAGAAGCAGGTGAAAACGGCAGTGAAATCACACTGGAATTTAGCTGGATGGTGTCCAGGTAATGACAGCAGCTCAGAGAAAGGGTATCTGGTACTCAATGGGGTGTGTGCGAGGGATAAGCTGGCAGGAGAGATGGTGCAGCTGGAACCCACATGAACCATCAGGATGTGGGATGTGGAAGTATTAGCTGGGAAGAAGAGGGGGGATTACTTAAATCCCACAAAAACAAGCATCTTGAGATTTTTTTTTAGTGATTTTAGCTGTCTAGCTGGTCCCTTCAAGGCACAGCATAGTGCTCTTGGGAGTTAAGACTGCAAGAGGCAGCTGTAGGGAGATGTTGAGAGTGGTTCCTGCACCCAGGCACAGGAGTATTTCGCAGGACTAAGGTGGCCAAAGCATTCATGTAGGTTGGTTGCACAGCCTCTCTCCCATTAATTTTCCATCTTCTTCACCTTTTAGCAAAGATCCTGGGGAAGGTGGGAGAAAGCCTGAGCCGGATTTGCTGCGTTCGCCCGCCCATGGAGCGCTTCACCTTTGTGGGTACGTAGTGGAAAGCCCCAGCATCTCCTTAACTTCAGCACCAGCCCCCAGCCTTTCTCCCAGTCCTCTCTCCCAGGTCAGGCACCAGCATCTCTGCTTTGCTTTCCTTCTCCAGATGAAAATGCCAACTTGGGGACAGTGATGAGATACGAGGAGATTGGTGAGTACACAGCACGCTCCATGTTGCTCCAGCTCCTCTAGGCTGGAGTTACGTGGCTCAGGAGCAGCTGCACGACAGATACGGTGGCGAGTGAAGGATGCTGGATCATCGCACCCTGATCCCAGCTCTTGGGGCTCAGGGGTGGAACAGGAGCAGTACTAAACTGGCCTGAGCCCATTCCCATTGTCAGACAAGCAGCCTGAAGTAAGGGAGTGGGGACCCAGCTCCCAGAGCTGGCATGGACTTGCCATGGCATCATGCTTTGAAGATAACCCCAAGTGCCCTCAAAACTTGCCCTCCCATGGTGGTGCCACTCACATCCTCACATTGCCTGCAGCCCTGCAGAGCTTTGCACACAGCAGCAGGAGGGACTTCAGCTGCCCAACCAGCCATGGTGCCCCTTTCTCAAAAGCCCTTTAGGGGTTTTAGACCCATCAGGCTGCCATGCATTTAGCACCACTGTCCATCACTCAGGGCTCTGCAGGGGGAGCTTGCTGGTGGTTTTGGGACCCGTTTCATGGGCTAGCTCACACACAGCCTGACACAACACCCACCCTGGCACCAGCACCATGCAGAGCCCAAAGGCTTTGGCCACCTGGAAATGCCAACCAGGGAGGCACCTTCCCATGCAGCTGCCTCTTCCCACGCTTTTGGGTGAGTTTATGGCTTTCCTCTGCTGGTTGTATAAATAAATTAATTTTTATGGGCCCGTTAGAGTAGAAAGCTCCTTCCCACAACACAACTGTCTTGCTGAACAGCAAAGCCAACCCTCAAAGCAAGCTGTCAGTAAGCAGCAGTCCCAGCCTGGGGAGAAAAAGGGAGGACATGGAAGTCCTCCAGGATGAGCAAGGAAAACCTCTGGCATTTCATGCTTCGCTAAAGCAAACACAGCCAGCTCTGAGCAGTCCCTGAGCTCTCCCCATTGCCCCAGGGCTAGAGGCCCTGCAGCAGATCATGAAGCAATTGTGGGTGCCCATAGCATAGAGAAATTATTCCCTTCACCAGGGCCACAGCACCTCCAGGGCTGGAGCATAGCGGTAGTTGAACAGGACATAGCAATGCTGACAACATTGCTGCATGGGAGAGGAGCTGCATTAAATTAGGGTGGGGGATATTTGATGTATGGCACCAGTAGGGATGTGAGAAGGACCATGGGATCTTTAGCAGTACTTGTTTTGACAGGGGAGGTCTGTGGAGAATAGGATCCCCCCAGGTAGTGCAATGGGATGGTGGGGCAAACGATGCCTGCCCAGCTCCATTTGCTCCCACCTCTGAGCTTCTCTGCTTCTTTTCTTCAGAGCTTCGCATCTTACTGCTCTGTGGCAGTGACTTGCTGGAATCCTTCTGCATCCCTGGTCTCTGGAACGAGGCAGACGTGAGTCACCACTTCTGGGCACCTCTCCATGTTCCTCTTCCCCAGGATCTCTTCCTCCTCTGCTTCCCACACCTAGTGCTCCTTGGGAGCCATTCAGGTCCCTGGGGATGGCAGGAGCTGTGCCCACCATCCCCATTGCCTTCTCCATTCTAACCATGACCCTCACTTTTCCTACACATGGCCAGGGACAGGGTCTTCTACTCCCAAGTCACCAGCCCTACCCAGCTTCCCCTTCCGTAGACCCAAACCCTGCTCCTACTCACCATTCATGCAGAAGATATCACCCAGGGTGCAGGACAACCCCATCCCAAGGGATTTCCAAAGGCCAATTTCCAAAGGGCCCTCCCAACTCCTCATCACTTGGTAGGAGGCAGCATCAAGTAGATGCCAGTCCCAGCAGAGTGAGGTGTGGAGGTAGGAAATAAGATATTTACAGAAGTTGTCCAGACTTTAGAAATTAAACACATTTACAGGCAAATCAACGGTTTTCACTTCATTGCAGGCTTTTCCTGCAATGTTGGGTGCCCAAGCACACATCTTTAAAAAGACCAAGAAGTAAAACCATCTTGATTCCTCAGCCTGGTGATGCCTAACACCAACTCACAGCTGACTGATAGCACCTTCACTGCCACAACTCAAATAGGCAAAACCTACTGCCCACCTCTCTGTGCGTCCCCCTCCCTGCCTCCCGTTAGTGAAGGACTGCAGCAGGACACCCAGCATGCTGGACACCACGGTCCCTGCCTGAAGAAGCCACATTTTTGGGGGGGACACTGGCTCTAGAGAAGGGCTGGGTTACCCACCTGCATGCTGCTCCTGGCATTCAGAGCGGAGCTGGCTACGGGAGCTCATCTGGCTGGCTGCTGAAATCGGGCAGCCAACACAGCCTGCCCCCCTCCTTGAACCTCTCAACCACTTCTAAAATCAGTTACCACATCTTCAATCCTAAGTTTTTTAAAACTATTAGCTGGCAGAGATCTCCTCTGAAAGGATGCAAAATCTGAGATGAGGCAAGTCTTGAAGCCCAGCACAAAGGATGCAAAAATTGGATGTCTAAGCACAGGCAGAGGAGGCATTCTGCACCAGCACCACCTCACAGGCTCCTGCTGCCTGCATTTGCTGACCCATAGCTCTTTTGGATGAGCCTGGTTTGTTTCAACAAAGATAGGTGTGAGCAGTAGGAGCCATACCCACATGGTGGCAAACTTGGCCGCCACCAGCCTCAGCGCAAGCAACCTTGGAAGAACAACCCTACAAGACCTGTGTCAGGACCAACATGTCCATCCTGCTCATATAGGCTTCCAGCGAGGTAGAGGTCACATCCTCCTTAGGCAACCTCTTCTGCTGCCACCCTCTTTCTACCACGACAAGTCCTCCCTAAAGCCTAACTTCAACATCTAGTAATAGGATTTAACCCTGTTTGTTAACCTTTTTGTTTCATCCACTGCAGACCACTCACCACACCTTGATAATGCCATGTTTCTGCCAAAGGCTGTTGAGATAGAAAGTGAATTTAAGGCTATCTCCATCCAGACCATGTCTCAGCTTTTCACAGTGCCGGGGTGGTCCCTGTTTGTTAACCTTTTTGTTTCATCCACTGCAGACCACTCACCACACCTTGATAATGCCATGTTTCTGCCAAAGGCTGTTGAGATAGAAAGTGAATTTGAGGCTATCTCCATCCAGATCATGTCTCAGCTTTTCATGGTGCCGGGGGGGTTGGCAGACAGTGGCAGTTTTTGCATGGGGTGGTCACAAAGCTCTCCCTGCTTTGGGTTGCTCCTAGATGGAAGTGATCGTTGGGGAGTTCGGGATCGTGGTGGTGCCTCGGGATGGAGCAGACCCCGACCGGATCATGAACCACTCTTCCATACTCCGCAAGTACAAAGTAAGTGAATGCACCCATGGCCAGGGAAGACTGCTAGAGGACCCACAGCTCCCCAGGGGAACGCTTCTGCCACAAGAACACAAAATGTCTTGAGGCCAGGTGCTCTCAGCTGCTGGGTGGGATGAGAAATGGGGCCATCATGCAGCAGTTCTCCAAGGCTGGTGGGGCAGACACATGCTTGCAGGCCATCCCTTCACTCCTCTCTTCCTCCTTCCTCTGCAGAACAACATCCTGGTGGTGAAGGACGACTCAAACCACCCCATGTCAGTTGTCAGCTCCACCAAAAGCAGGTGGGTGATGCAAGGGGATTCCTGCTAGAGGGTGGGATCCCCTCCATTCGTGGGGACAGCAAAGTGACACCTAGCCGGGCTCTGACCCCTTCTCTCCCCCTGCATCCCCAGACTGGCCCTGCAGCATGGGGATGGACACGTCGTGGATTACCTCTGCCAGCCTGTCATCGACTACATCCTCAAGAGCCAGCTCTACATCAACGCCTCTGGCTAAGCGCCAGAGGTCTTGCAGCGAGACAGCCCTCGTGTCCCGCCTGCCTACAGCTCTCCATCACTCTTTTCTCTCTCTCTCTCTCTCTCTCTCAAGTCTGTGTCTCCATCTCTCTCCCCACCCCATGGCCTCCTGCCCATGTCTGCCTTTCACCCCCGGCGCCAACGCTCCATCGTGCAGCAATGTCCAGGGAACCGCAGCATGGCCCCAAGGGGAACAGTTTGGTCTCTTTTTTCAGGGGGCTGCCCTCCCTCTCACAGTGGGGAAGGTAGAAGGGACCGGTAAAAGAGCGATGTGCTCGGTGCGCTCGAGGGGAGGCAGCTCCAGCACCCCCCTCCCAGCATGTCACTGGGAAATGGTCCCCCCGGTCCGTCCTCCCAGCATGCTCAGAGCAGGGGCTTCCTCTTCTGCATCATCTTACGGTACTTAAGCTCAATAAATCTAGGAGGACTCTTTTTTTCTTAAATAGTTCTAGTGCAAGCCCTTTTGACCTCTCAACACGATGACCAAACGAATCCTGGTTGGCAGCGGGCAGTTGTAACTCAACTGGATTGGTGCCCCACCACAGGTGAACCTCCTCAGGCCAGGAGGACAACTCAGCTGAAAAAAATAATCATCCTGGCCCTGAAAAATCATGGCAAGGGCATTTCTGAAGGGGAGTAGAGGCCTTGGCAAGTATTGCTGCCAAAGCATTACAGGGGGGATGCCATGTCTCACCTTTCCTTGGCTGCAAGTGAACCCAACCTACCCCACTTAGGCAAGTGGAGTTGGAGTGATGCTCTACTCTGACCCAGCGTCAGAGGGGGCAGCCCACGGCACCTAGAAAAGGACCTGACATTTATGAAGCCAAGAAACAAGGGAGGAAGAAGCAGGTGGTGACCTAAAGCCTCTTGTGAGAATTTGCCCCAAACCTGGGGCTGAGCTTCATGAGGGCTGAGTCCGCCCCCATCCTCTAGCCTTCAGATCTCCATTTCTGTCTGTAAACGTCCCCTTTGTCCCTCCACTCCTCCCCTCTTCCTCTCCTTGACGAGTTTATTAAATGCATGATACTTTTCCCCCCTCCCAAACCGGCTGTGGCTACTTTACACATCCCTTGGGACGTGCCAGGCTCCTGCTGTCCTGCCTGTGACGTGCTCCCAGACGCCAGGGAAGGAGCCCAGTGGAGACACTTGCATTAAAACCAGGGCAGATAACATGGAGAAAAAGAAAATTATTTAAGTCTTGTGGAGATGAAGGTTGCTGAAGTGGGCCATTGCCCTGCTGAGCACCCCTAGGGTGGAAGGACCCTGCGCAGCACCTGGGAAAGGTCACAGCCACACGGAGGAAGGTACAGTCCTGCTTTACTCCTCATCTTTTCCTCTCCCTTTGCTCTGTCTAACCTTGTATGGCTTTGGGTGTAGCCCTGCTGCCTATAGCTCCTGGGCAGATGCCCACTCCCAACAAATTTGGGTTAATTGGGCTCAGGCTAGAGCCCCCCACTGAGGCACAACCACTGCCCATGCTGGCTTTGTGGCTTTCCCAGGGCAGTGCTGTGACTAGCTTCTGCTCCCCAGCGAGGGACAGTGCAGCGATGAGACACCCAAAGGCTGAGAGTCCTCCAGGGTGTTTCAGGAAAACATTGATTTATTTATTTGTTTTTCTTCCTTGACCATCTACGAAAGGTCACAAACTGCTCTCATGTAAGCTTCAAAGAAGAGACGCTGTACTAAATTTGATGACCACCTGGATGCTGCTGGCATGTCTGTAACAGCAAGCAACTTTGGGCAAAACAAGGTAGCTTACGGCCACAGGCTTCTTGCAGCTAGCAGGGTTTTGGTGGGCTAATGGTTCCTCGAGGAGGGCACAGCCCTTCACAGAAGGGAAAGCAGGAGAGACAGAAGTGATGTGGCTTACCCAAAGGCCAGAAGAGGTCTTTCCTTGCCAGGGATTTCCCTCTGAATGGAAAGGCTTGTTCAGGAACTGTGGTAAATTTGGCAGCTGAATCCCTAAGCATCAGCTCTGATATCTCCAGGCAGTACCCCATGGGGTGAGGAGACAGGGAGATGCCAAAGCAGAGAGGGCAATGAGAGCATGCAGGACTTGGAGTGAAGGGACACCTCTTCTCCAGGGAGATCTTCAGCCTATTCAGGCTGCTCACCACCACTCTACTGAGCTCCTTAGCTAACATGCTGGGCAGGTGCCCAGGGTGGGACATCCATGAAATACCCAATGGAGGTAAGCCAGTAGCTAGACTCCTCTCCACCCATTGTTCTCACATGTTCAGTTTTTCAGTCTCTCCTCCCTCTCCAGCCCAAAACAGAAGTTATTTCTGATAACAGCCTCCTGTTCTTGCCAGACATCACCCCTGCTTCTTAGCTCCAAGCTAGAGGAGAAAAAGCAACGGTAGCAACCAGCCTCCAAAACATACACACACACGCAGAGAGAGGGATTTCAACCTCCTTGGGGAAGCGATGCCTCTTTGAAGGGGGAGGAAGGACAGTAGGGTTTAACTGAGGAAAAGGCACAAGGAAGTACAACAAAGGAGATGGAGAAGGCAGACAGGCGGCATGTCCAAGAGCCATCTCAGACCCTTCCTCCCTCAGGTATGTGAGATGGGACACAGGGGAAGGGAGACAGCTTCCCACCCCGTTGCGGTTAGGACAGCATGCCTTAGAGACGTAGCGTTGTGGTACAGATGATGAGTATATTCTGTCTTACTATTCTTACCTGCGCCTTCGTGTGTCTGCTCAGTAAAACTCACAGTATGGGGGGGTGGGGTGGGACATGGGGGTTTGTAACAGGTCACTCAGCTCTGGACTGGTTTGGAAAATGTCTTTGGGTGGGTATGGAAAAAACATCATAATCCCTGAAGAACCATGAGGCCATCGGGGAGGTGAGGACCCAGGGTTTCCAGGGCACAGGAGAGAGGGGTGGGAAGAAGCTTGTGGATTTTGGTCTTTGAACCTCCACTTTTAAACAGTGCAGTTTGCTGAAAGAGAAATGAACTTCAAAAGCCTTTTGGAGATTAAAAAAAAAAAATAAGGGGGGAGGGAGGGAAAGGGGTTGAAGTTGCCATGCCACCAATTTCACCTTTGTCGGAAGTTTTGGAGCCTAATTTTTTTTTCTTATGTTGCTATATGGAAAAAAAAACAGTCATTGACAAAAAGAAACCAACTTTATCAGCAAAATGTTTAAATTATGTAATAAACAAAACAAAACAGAACAAAGATGTAGCTGGTGTTATTTCAAAACAGCCCCAAGACCAAATCAGCATGAAGAGCGCAAGCAGCTGCACCCCTGGGGAACTGATGGCCAAACTCACAGAAACCAGGGAGCTAGAGAAAATAAACCAGTAGGCAAGATCCAGCCAAAAGTATTTGTTATTTATTGACATCCTCCTTTTCAAAAAACCCAACTCATAGAAAAATGAAGTCAGGTCTATAATACCTGTCCCTATTGCTGTACAGCAGGAGAAGGTAGATGTGCCAGAGGCAAGAATACTTCTTGTTTAAATAAAAGTGTAAGGCAGACATATACATTGGTATATCCTTATCAAGCAAAAGCATGGGTGCTGCTTTATCAGAGAATCAGAGCTAACGAGGGGTGAGCACGTCCTGCAGTGTCCTCCTCCATCCAGGACCTCCTCTTTCACCACTATGCAGGCTTCAGGGCTTCAGCAGAGTTGACTTTCAGCACCTGCTAGCTCTTTTTTTCCCCTGAAATGGCGTCTAAAGGAAGCTGGGAGCAGTGTCAGAACAGAGCTGGACCCACAGGAAAGCCACGGGTGGGTGAAGCAAGCACCATGATCTTCAACTCCTCCAAGCTCTCTTCAGATGTACAGCGGGAAACCCTGCAGACAACTATTTGAGCCTCTGAGAAACATCCAGCACCACGTGGGAGGGAGGAAGGGATGGATGGAGAGGGAAATGGGCAGCACCAAACAAGACATGAACACATATTCAAGACATCATCAATATTTTTAAGTGGATTGAATCAGAACACTGGCACTCCAGCAGTATGGGACCAGGCTCCCAGATGTGAGAGCTTGTGGCTGCAAATCCCTGGAGAAAGCCCTCATTCTTGTAACAAGCGCTACAGGGCCCTGAGTGCTTGCGCAGAGAGGACACTACCTTGCTTCTCCCAGGGTCTGGGAGACCCAGGAAGCTGCCTGGTACCACACCAGCTAGTCTTGGAAGGAAAGGTTGTGCTTGACCTTGTAAGGGGATGGTAGAGACACCTGTGCTTGCCCAGGAGGAGCTTTGACAAGAATGTCATTCCTCAGGGGCTTTGGGACTTGCAAAGAACTGAAGGAGAAAGAAAGGGTGTTCTCTCTTCCTGGCTGAGGGAAGCAGGTGGAGCATTTGAGGAGCCCCAGCAGTTCCCTCCTCCTCGGCTACCCTCCAAGCCTGGGATCCCCTTCTTTCTCCATCCTGCCATCACCCTGAGCTCAAAGGCAGCTGGCACTTTTTTTTTTTCTTTCCCCTTTAGAAAAATCTTAACTACCTCAACTGGGGCGCACCATGGAAGACCTGCAGCTTAATGAAAAAGGTCATCAGTGGCATCTGATGCCAAATGTCCAAGACACAACAAAACCACACTAGCACCACTCCCAGCAAGGTGAGGACTGGGCAGGTTGGGAGGAGAAAGCCATATGTCACAGGTCAAAACTCATCTCCCTCGAGCTGCCACTTCACGCTGCTTGCTCCCTGCCTCCTGAGAAGAAGATCCCATGGAGAACATGAGTAGGAGGTGGTGGTGGTAGTGTCAAAAGTAAGGACAGAGACTGTAGACACTCTGTGTGTGCCAGACCAGGAGGGGGGACCCACAGAGGATGGAGAACCTCTTGTGAAGGTTGTGAACTTCAGGCTCTGAACTATGCAAATTCCCAAGGGTAACACCAAGCCAACTCCCACCTGCATGTCAGAGAAATGTTGTAGGAACAGGCTGTTCTTCAGTCAGGAACACCTTCATGCAACCAGGAGTCTCCTTCCTCTCATGACCGAGGGACGGACCACTTTGAAAAATCAGGGACTCTCCAGGGCTAGCATGACTATGAGAACTTCAGCTGCCACACTGAACTTGAGGGTAAAGATCAGTTCACCACAGTCAAATGCAGTCCTGCTGGGTTTGGGGAGGGCAGCTGGACCAGGCTCTCCTGCCATCACAGTCTGGCAGGTGCTGCAAGCCTTTCCAGAGCCCACTCATGGCAATTCAATGGCTTTTGTGTTGTAACAACCTGGAGGAAGACTCTTCTGGATATCCTCCAGGTTCTTAATATCCGCCAGGATCCCATCAATGCTGCTCTCCAGTGTTTGCACCCGGGCCTTCTGTAATGCGGCTGTCTGCTCCAGCTCCAACATCTCATCCTTCAGCTGTTTGCTTCTGGCTTTAGCTTTGCTAAAATTCATCTCAAGCTGCTTCAGGCCATCCTCATCCACAGCACCAGGCTGGTCTGTTGCACAGGAGGAAAACAAGGAAGAGGGGACCATGGATGGAGGCTGAGGATTAGACTAGATCTTTCCAGATATTTCATCTCCATCCTGCTGCCCAGCCTGTTTACAGGCACCACCCCACATAGCTCCCAGCAACCCTGCCCAGACCACAGCAAGGACCTGTCTCCATCCACGCCCTACAGCAGGGGCTCAAAACCTACTCATTAGACGCAGCAGCTCTTCCAAGGCACTCAATGTCTCCTTCACGACCATTCCTGCCTCGCCAGCCTTAGCATGGACCCTCTGAGCTTCCTGTGCTGTCTAAAGAAGGCAAGATGGCAGCTGTAAGGTGAAGTCTTGCCCAAATGTAAAGAGGGAAGGGGACAAGGTGAGGGACATAGGGACCCACCTCCTGTATCACAGCGGCATCTGCTTCAACCTCCGAGCGCTTCCTCTTAAATTCATCGTCCTCTTCCTTGGCCTCACGCTGCAGGGTAGCCACTGCCTTCTCCAGGGCCAGGACACCATCAGCCGACTTGTTGGCTTCCACCCTCAGCCTTGTGATCTCCTATGGAACACAAAGGGACTTTCAGGGGAGCAGAGCATGGCTGAAATTGGTCTGGATGCACTGGGGCATGGAGCTAGTGGAAACTGGTTCCTTCCACAGGCACCCAAAATTAACATGGGCTTTCCTGTGTCCTTCATGTGCTCCCACCTGTTAGGGCATTGTTTCTATGATTACGGCTCAACCCAGGCACCCAAAATTAACATGGGCTTTCCTGCATCCTTCATGTGCTCCCACCTGATAGGGCATTGTTTCTATGATTACAGCTCAATCCCCCCTGCAGATATCAGCAAATCCCTTGGGAATTACAACATACAGTCTGGGAGCCAAACTCAGCAACGCCAAGTCTGGGAACTGCCAGCAAGTCAGACTCTGGAAGTAAAAAAATCCCCTTGGCCACCAAAAGGTGGCTACAGAGAGATGTCTTAGAGATCCTCGCTGGACAAACATGCCTGAAGAGACCCCCATGCACCCCCTCATCTACAGCCAACTCTGTTATCTCTGCAGGATCCACTACAGACAAATGTCAGCCAAAATGTCAGCACATCAGATCCGCTATGAAGACCCATTGGAGCTGCCAACCATGTCCTCTTCATTCCATGGTTTTCCCTTCCAAGCCTTCTTCTGCCAACAATGGGGCTTGCCCTCACCTGCTGAATCCCCATGGTGATCTCTTTTGCTGTTTCTGCCACACTGTTGGCTGCCTTGGATTCAGAAGCAGCACTTCCCAGGATTGTTTCAGCTCGGTCTGTCTTCTCCTTGGCACTTGCGACCATGCTACTGATAATCGGTAGCCTTCTCATGGCATCTTCAGCTTCCCTCCTCTTGTCATCTGCTTGCAGGTTAAACTCTGAAAGAAATGCACGTGGAAATGAAGCTGCGCTAGCTTTGTGAGATGCCACAAGGGAGGGGAAGGAAAGGTTTCTAGGACATTACCCCGGAGGCTCTTCAGGATCTGTTCCACCTCGTAGAAGGTGGCATTGCCAGCACTCACGGCTTGCAGGGCTGTGTTCCTCGCAAGGTTGGCTCGGGACAGCAGCTGCGTCAGTGTCTGTGACAGACCAAAGGGACACAACAGGCAGATGAAGGACACAGTACGGGAGCATCAGATAGTCCCTCAACCAGCTCCAGCAATCACGAGTGATCTTAGTTTCAATTCCTCCAGGAATGGAGGGGGTACGCTGGTGACATCCTGCACCAGCAGCTCCGCACACACAGTGAGGTCTCCCACCGGCTCCAGAAGACCAGTCCCAAGTGGCTGTGTTTCTGAGGAAGGTGAACAGGCTGGGACAGCACATAGTAGGGGTGGTGCCACGGGCATCCCACTGGTGCTCCAGCTCACGCTGAAGACAACTCAAGCCGCAGACCCCCAGCCACCCTCTTACCGCTCTCTCGCCCTCTCCCCTCTGCAGCAGCTGCTTGATTTCTTCCTCCCAGCGCCCCGTGCGGCTCTGCAGCTGCCGGTACTGGGCCATGTAGGTGTCCACCAAGCTCAGGAGAGCACTGGCGTCCTGCTTCAGCCGGGTGGCCTCCCCCTGAAACACAGAGATGCGACGACTGCCTGCGGGTCCCAACATCTCCCCAGGAACCACAGCAAGCAGCCACGGATGCTCATCTCTTTGCTTCTTGTGCCTGTGGCCAGCTATGGGGGCAAAAGGACAGGAAGGTGCATATCTGATGGCTCCCCAGTGGAAACAGAGCCCTGGGAAGGACTGAGCTGCTGGTAGTGAGGGGGTAGGAGAGAGCAAAAGGCGGCCTCCTGGTCCTGCGGGCACAAAGTCCTCACCTCAAAGGAGCCAATGTCGGTCTTCGTCAAGCGTGACAGGGAGTTGAGGAGTACAAGGCTGCCCTGATAAGCCCTGTCTGCATCAGAGGCCATCCCATCAGCTTCAGTCTTCAGGCCTCCAACCAGTGACTTCAGCTCCTCGTACCTGCATGGATATGGGGTTGAAGACCACAGTACCAGCCAAGCTGCCAACCCCCACCACAGAATTAATGCTGCCTCCTGCATTGACTTGTTCATGCTCCCCAAGTCCTCTTCAGGGCCCCACAGATTTATCATGCTGGAAAAGCTAATTGCAAACAACTGCCTCACCCCAGCCTCTCCACCAAGTAGGGCATCTGCATCATGCTCCAAAATCTAAAGGTGTTTCACACCAGGTGAACCCTCATAGTCTCCACAGAGGCTCTGCTAATCCCTGCCACTGGGTGTTTTCTCCTGCACGTCCCCATTCAGCTCCTTAACTTCATTCAGGGCCATTGTTCCCACCCCACCAGTGGTGTGCAAAGTCCCAGCAACCGTGGTGGGCTCTGGAGAGGTACCGCTCCAACCAGACAACGTGGGGCTAAATCTACCCTTAGGCTAAACCCGGCCTAGATTTGCATCCGGGCACAGAGTCATCCTCAGGAGTGTGGGGCAGCCCCCTGGGGAGCATCACAGTCTGTGGGGTGGGAAGCAGACGGTCGGCAGAGCTGCCAGCCCTCCCTTCTCCACCACTCAGACATGCCAGCAACCAACGTCCAGGCAAGTCCTTGCCTCCAACTGCACATTTCTGCAGCTCCACCAGGGAGACAGGAAAGGAGGCATGGATGCTTGGCCACCCCCCTCCTCCCCACCTTGATATATCCCCCCCAAGACACGAAGGTGGACGCAGCACCAACTCACTTGCCGAGCAGGCCCTGCAGGGAGCCGGAGGCGGCCTCCTCTCCTCCAGCAGCCGCACGCACCAACTCCAGGGCTTGCCCCGCGTCGTCCCGCGCTGCCCTCGCGGCTTGCTCAATGGTGTTGGCAGCTTGTGCGTGGCTGCAAAGCACAGGAGGGGGCTCGTGAGGAAGGTTTCCCCACAGAAGCTTCCTCCACCAACTTCCTTTATTGTTGTGCTCAGGTGGTGCTGGATCTGACCCTCCCAGCAAACACGGCAGGTTTGAGAAGAGGACTCGTATTTTGCGTCTTCCCTCCTGCCTCTCCTAAGGGTAGAGGAGCACCCAGGGGTAGGTGGATGCTGCCTGTTGCAACTGGGCATCTTCAGACCAAACTCTCACCCCAAAGTTACTTCTAAAACACATCCGACACCGCCCTTTAAGGCAACTGAGGACATCTCTGTAGGGCAGCAAAGTCAGCCCAGCAGACACACCATCCCTCTGCTCCAGGGCTGGCACAGAGGTCATGGCAGCTGCAGCCCGAGGAAAAGACAAAAGCCCCCCAAAAAGGACCTTCTGGGCACTCAGCAAGATCTCAGTCCCCCTGCCCTCAGGAGCAACTCACCTGTTGGCCAGTCTCAGAGCCTCCTGGGCCAGCATCAAGAACTGGTTTGAGCCCCCGGGAAGGTTTGAAACAGGAATGGTCTGAGGAGGGAGGAAGAGAAACATGAGTGCTCTTCCCTGCCCTCCATCCAATGGAGCAGTGAAAGAGGTGACTGCAGCACGTTAAACCTCCACAGCCCCCCAAAAACCCCTGCCAGCACCTCTCCATGTCCTAGCCCTACAGAACAAGCCACCAGAATATCTTCTGCACTCAAAATGGATGGAATAACTGAATATGTTAAAATCTTGCTCTCTCCATGGATTTTTCTTAGACTAGGAGAGTGTCACATGAGGATGCTCTTACCACCCGACGCAGAGCAACTGTGCTACGGTCCAGGTCCAGCCTAGCTCTCTCCAGCAGCTGCCGGGTGTCCTGCACCTGCCTCTCGTACTGGCTCCCCAGAGACCTCAGCCTCTCCACCGTTGCCTTGATCTCGTCCAAGTGGCTCTGAGAGTTGGACACTTGCCCCTTCATCCTGGCCACACGGCTTTCCAGAGATCTGTCAGAGGCTGGTGAGAAGGAAAGAGAGAGGCTGAAGAGAAATTCATCACTGAGCAAAATCCTCCCCTGAGAGGGCGCAGGTGGCCCCATCAGAGGGCCGAGGGTGGGTGGTACCTTGGAGGCTAATGGCTTCCCCGAGGATAGCCCGCAGCATCTCCTCAGCCAGCTGCATCCTCCGCTCCAGCTCCTGGCTCCCGGCCCCACCACCAGCTTGCACCTCTGAGAACAGCAACTCCAGCTCCACCAGCTGCTGCAGGTACAGGTCCACCTGCAACCACAGCAGACCAGGCCATCAGTCAGCGGGACATCGAGCCCACAGTGGAAAGACCAGGGTGGGAACCAGGTCCATGGTCCAAGCAGAGGATGGAGAGCAAAGCAAGGGCTCGTTTTTGGATTGGGCACAGCTGGCCAGCAGTTCTAGGTCATTGGGTTTTTATTGGCTGAATCAGGTACAAACCCAAACTTCAGGCACAGCCTGCAAAACCACTTCTCTCTCACATCAGGAGATGGCTGAGGAAGCCAGGAGGAGATGCTTGAGGGTAAGTGTATCTCTGCACCCCTTGCTGCTCAGGAGCCCCACAGCTGGCAGAGTTGCTCACCTGGGCTTTCACTTGGCTGTAGCAACCCGGGCACTCACTCTCTTCACAGTTGGGACCCTCAAAGCCTGGCTTGCAGATGCAGCTCCCATCACTCCCACACTTGAGGGGCTCAGCGCCAGGCGAGTCACAGGCACAGGCTGTGGGTCAGAGTGGCACAGGTTCAAAGGCGTCTGTCACCACCCTCAAATCTCAGCACATACTTCTTCCATCCACCCTCTCCCCCAGCTTTCCTCTCACCATGTAGCCCGGTGCTCTGGTCTCTACCCTCCACTCCCCACTTCCCAGCCTTGGCTTTTGCAACCATTGTCCTTCCCATCAAGCCACCCCCATGCACCCGTGTGGATTTTCTTACTCCATCCCAGCTCAAACAGCTCTCACCTCGGCACTTGTCGGCGGGATTGGGGGCGAGGGGGTTCCCGAAGAAGCCATCTTTGCAGCGGTCACAGTAGAAGCCAGCAGTGTTGTAGATGCACTTGAGGCACTCGCCGGTGCGGCGGTCGCAGTTGCCCACGGCGTTGGGTTCCACGTTGCCATTGCACTGGCAGGGCTGGCAGGGCCGGGAAGCTGCTGGGTCTCCAAAATAACCATCGGCGCAGTACTCACAGTTGTCCCCTGCGGAAGGAGAGATGAGGAGAAGCTCATGGTCTTGCCCAGAAGACAGAGGCTGCCTTCATTGCTTTTGCCCTGCAGAAATGGGGGCGTTCAGCCCCATCAGGGTCAACATCAGTGTTGTAGATGCACTTGAGGCACTCGCCGGTGCGGCGGTCGCAGTTGCCCACGGCGTTGGGTTCCACGTTGCCATTGCACTGGCAGGGCTGGCAGGGCCGGGAAGCTGCTGGGTCTCCAAAATAACCATCGGCGCAGTACTCACAGTTGTCCCCTGGGGAAGGAGAGATGAGGAGAAGCTCATGCTCTTGCCCAGAAAGCAGAAACTGCCTTCACTGCTTTTGCCCCATGAGGGGCCTGGAGAACAAGTCCTATGAGGAAAGGCTGAGGGAACTGGGCATGTTTAGTTTGGAGAAGAGGAGGCTGAGGGGAGACCTCATTGCCCTCTACAACTACCTGAAAGGAGGTTCTAGAGAGGCAGGTGTTGGCCTCTTCTCCCAAAGGACAAACGACAAGACCAGAGGAAATGGCCTGAAGTTGCGGCAAGGGAGATTTAGATTAGATATTAGAAAGAACTACTTTACTGAGAGAGTGGTCAGGCACTGGAACAGCCTGCCCAGGGAGGTGGTGGAGTCACCATCCCTGGAGGTATTTAAGAAACGTATAGACATGGCTCTTCAGGGCATGCTCTAGTGCCCAAGGTTATTGGTTTATGGTGAGGTGTTGAGTGTGGGGTTTAGTTGGTGGGTGCGGTGTTTTTGGTGGGCTTTTGGTGTGGTTTGGGTTTTTGTTTTGTTTTGGTTTTTTTTTGTGGTTGGACTCGATGATCTCAGAGGTCCCTTCCAACCACTAAGATTCTGTGATTCTGTGATTCTGTGAAATGGGGGTGTTCAGCCCCATCAGGGTCAACACAACAACATCCCCACTCTCCTTGCCACCACGGCCAATCCACAATGCACCAGGCAGGTTCTCGAAAGCTGGGTGAAACGATTGACCTCAGGAAAGTTGTTTCCTGTTAGGTGGAGTTTTTTCCTACTTTTATTTTCCCCTCTCTCTCCACCCATCATGTTATCTGTTTGGATGAGAGCATCCTGGCCCGCTTATGCCTGTATCTCCCTGTACGGTGGGTAGAAGCTCTGGAGAAAGAGTAGAAGCAAGCTGGAGAAGGGCATTACCAGCAGCTCCAAGAGGGCAGTGGTCACAGATGACCTCCTCACTGCCTGGCACCACTGAGCAGCCTTGGCCGTTGCTGCAGGGGCACGGCCTGCAGTGGTATGGCTGCCGGGGGTCTTGGTAGAAGCCGAATGGGCAGCTGACACTATTGCCCACGTTTTCATCTCCCGAGTAGCATTCCCCTGAAGAAGGAAGGAGAGAGTTTAGGGCAGTTTGCTCTCACCCCTGGTGGGATACCCTCCACCACCCACCTCCTGGCCACACCACACACAGCAGCCCAAGCACCCATGGTCCACCATCCTCCCCCAGAGCCCTTGCAATCCCCACACCTGCCCATACGTGCTTCATTTCTCTGCCTGTCAGTCCATCACCATGCAGGAAGGACTGTGCCCTGCTCCTGCAGCAGGAGCCCAGTGAGACCCCCATGGAGGAGCCCATCCTATGGTATGGAGGCTCCCATGGTAGGTGGGCCATCACCACCCAAAAGGTGGCTGGATCTCATTTTTCACTGCTTGTAGAGCTCCCAAGGAGCCACACATTACCTCTTGTGCCTCCTGATCAATGCTCACATATTTGAAATTGATTTCCAGTTCAGACTTGGAAAATGGCGACAGCTTAACTTCGCGTTACTTTGACTTTATATGGCAACACTGTGAGGTATTTTAGCAAGACGGGCAGTAAAACATGCTTGCATCTACCAACACCACAATTAATTTTAAAATAAAAAGCCAGAATAAAAGTTTTTAATGCTATCCAAGCAGTATGAGATGGTTTTTTTATTTCTCCAATGAGGATCATCTAAATGAGATTTGATCCCAACACACCTTTCCTGTATTTTTGGCCACGGTGCTTCTAGGCTTTGGGGAGTTTTAGCAGTGATGTTCCCTGCCCTCTATCCCCCCAAGCCAGGGATCTCCCCCTGCTCACTGCCCCCCTGTAGCTCAGTTCTCAGGGCGCAGCAGCCTCCCTGCCACCCCATAGGCCCTACGAGCACAACGCGGTGGTGGTTTTCCTTACCGGTGTCGGGGTCACAGATTCCTCCCCCCTGGCAATGGCAGGGCACACAGATGCTGAATGGCCCTAGGCCAGGAGCATCTCTGCGGTAGCCGGGGGCACACCTCTGGCAGAACTGCCCCTGGTACCCCGCCGGGCACTCGCAGCTCTCCACCCAGGGAGCAGGGACTCCAGGAACAGGCCGCGCCGACACCAGGGTGACGTTGTCGATGTAGCCGGTGCCTGGAGGGAGGTAGATCTCATCACCCACGGGGGCCAGCAGCTCCACATGCAAGTCCCCTGCACCCAGGACCCACACAGGTTGTACCCTTCATTACAATGTCTGTGGGCAGATGGACTGGAGCCAAGGCTTCCTTGTCCCCAGTGTTTACCACCCTGCCCATCTCTTCCTAATTTAATTTTGCCCATCTTAGGGCATTTTTAAAATTATTATTATGTAATATCTCCTAGCGAAGGTGTCTCCATCTGGGGACTTGGCATCTCCAGCCATGAGGAGAAGCCAGTCTTGTGCTACCCCCTTTGCAGCTCTTCCCCTCACTTACTGTACTCCCCAAAGGTGGCTCGGATCCAGAGACCCGTCAGGTTTCCCAGCAGCCTTCGATATTCAAAGTGATTCAGCCTCGGGCTCCACTTGCTGCTCAGGTGCTCATCCAACCTGCCCGTGGGAGAGGGGAGAAGTGGAACCGGTTTCAAGAAAACGAGATGCCTCATCAAGAAAATGCAGCAGCCCTCACCCATCTCCTTCCCGAGCTCAGGGCTTTGGGGAACAACCTCCACCTATGTGACTGACCCCAAGCACAGTACCCAGACCAATCTCAAGCCAGATTTTCTACTGCCCCTCTCACAAAATGACCTCCTCATCCAGGAGGAAAGCACCTGACATGCATCCAGCCCAAACCAGGCAACACTTTATCACCTCCAAGGGGTCACAGCTGAATCCTTGAGCTCCTTGAAGCCACAGCCTTCCTTGCTCACCCTGCCCCAAACAACCCAGCTTTCCCCTTTACCTGAATGTGTATGTCTGGCTGACGCCACAAGGCAGGGCCTTCCCCTGGGGCAAAAAGGGGGCAGTGACTCTCAGGCCATCTCCTTCCAGGACCACATCGTGAGGAGATGGCTGGCGTCCCCCTCGGTCCAGGCGGTAATCGAAGGAGAGTGTCTGGCCATAGCTCAGCTGCTGGTTCCCAAGAAATTTTGCTACAAGGGGAAGGAAGGGAGAAAATTAAAGGCTTAAAATCTTGCCTTCCTCCTAAAGGCTCAGTTCACAGCATCGGATCAAGCGAAGGGGACCTTTGCGCCTCTGCCCCTCACCGATCCCACACCTACCAGGCGCCACGAAGTATATCGGCTCCTGTCTCCTCGCTGCTATGAAGACATCTTGGTGGCGTGGGGACCACTGGAGCTGGGCTGGGGAGCCGCTTTCATGGACACCTCGCCAGCCTTCGGCACCTGGAGCACCAATGAGGAGCAGTGAGCAGGGACAGGGAAGGCGTCCCCCAGGACTCCAGCAACTTTCTCAAGCTGTGTCTTGTCAAAACCCTCCAGCTTCCTACTCCTTGACCTCCAACAAGCCTACATCTCCCCTGCCCCCTCACCCTCACACCCTACTTCTGCCTGTGATCAGGTCATCCCACCCATCAAAGCACAGAGACCCTCAGCAAGGCTGCAAACCAGCCTTCAGCACATTAAGGAGCCTTAGGGATGTCCTGCTTGGTCTTCACCTTGTTGGAAGGTGGAGGTAATGTTGTAGACGCTGTGGTTGTCTGCGCTGACACACACAGATGAGTGCCCATAGCAAAAGCAGGGGGAGCATCCCGCGGGGTTTCTGGTGTCCAAGTTGTAGAAGTGTCGCTTGCACCTGGGAAACGCAAGAAGGTGACAACGTTCAAGTTTGTTTTCTCCTTTTCCTGGCCGACACAATCAGCCCTCTGAGGACAGCCGTGCAACGCAGCCATCGTTCCAGGTCGTCGCCAGGCTGGGATGGCGAGATGGGCAACTGCCAGGGATGCAACTGTCAGGGAGACAGATGACAGGCCACCCAGTGGTCTGGCAGGTCCTTCTGACACCCACCTCTCACACCGCTCTCCGGTCGCTCTCGCCTTGCAGACACAGTGGCCGGAGAGGCAGCCCCCCGTGCTGCCAGCCGAGTCACACTCGCACTGTGGGTTCCTGCAATGGGGACAGCAAGAACCTCTACCTGGATTTCCAGCTCAGGCTGGGAGCTCAGTGCCCCCAGCTGTTATACAAGACAGCAGAGACACCCCCACCCCCACCCCAGCCACCAGTCCCATGCCAGAAGAGGAAAATTAATCAGCAGAGCCATTTCTCTAAGTAATCCAGCTGCAGCAGGACGGATGCTAGGCTGAGACCATGCCCAACGCTGCAGCCCCAGGACATCCCAGGGCACCAGACCCACCTACAAGAGCAAAGCAAAGCTCTGCTGTGCTTGATAAACCCCGGCTGAGTTTAATAGGTCCTGGTGGAGCTCCAACAGGCAGCAACACCCCGGGGAGACTTGGGCAGGAGGCCAGGCACAGCAGCACAGCTTCAGGCAGCCACCCCTGGCCCCCACCCTTGGCCCCAAAGGAGAAATGGCAGGGTGAAGCAAGGAAGATGAGGACACAGAGCTGAGGAAGCCAACCCAGAAACGCTTCAAAAGGTGTTTAATCAAGGCTTCGTGCAAAGGAAAGGGTTGATTTTTTGCATGCATGTCTTTGCACGGGGGCAGTCCAAGTGGCACCCCCACCCCACCAGGCAGACCCACGCGTGGGCAGGTTTTATTTTACATCAGCTGGCCCTGCTGTTGCTTCTTTGGCATTTTCTGGAGAACAAAGCAATTGCCTCAGAGCGTGGTGAAGGACAGCTTTTGATGCCGTGGCATGACAGCAAGCTCTGCAGGGTGGACCAGACGTCCAGCCCCGTAGCTGGACCTCACTGCTCTCTCCCAGTGAGCTTAGCTTAAGGCTATCTGTGTGCTGCCACGAACCAAACTGCCTCTCCCCTACCACGGGGTGGCTTTCAGCCAGCACAGGCTCTTCACAGCGGCTGAGAGAGCTCAGGAGGCTGGCCCTGCAGCTGTCCCCATGCCACCAATGGTCTCCAGCACTTACTGCCCGCTCCTCCGGCACCCAGCCTCAGAGAGGGACTCAAAGCCTGGCTGGCACTGGTCACACTTCTTGCCCATCACGCCGGGTTTGCAGCTGCACCAGCCACCACTGTCACACTGCGGGCTGAGGGCACCTGTGGAAGGAGGGAAAGGAGAGGTTTGGGTGGGCATATCTCCCCATGCCATGCTGGCAATGCTGCTGGTGGAACAGGGGAGCAAAGCACCATGTCATCACTGGAGCAGCAACCCAGGTCCAGAAAGAGGTCCCTCCCTGAGATCCCAGCACAGGGCTGAGATGCCTGGTCTGGCTGTTAAAGCTGCTTCCCTACCATCAAGGTCACTGTGAAGGACAAGAGAGACTCCAGGACAGACAAACCAAGCAGAGAATTTTTTTTTCTTCCTTGCCAGACCCTCAGTTAGTAGACGCTGGCAGAGATTGATTTTGGTGCCTCTACAAGGATCCTGTGGGGCTCAGGCCCATGGCAAGGTCTTTGGTTTCTGACCTGCTGTGCACATACAGGCACCAAGGGGAGAGGTTGCCAGAGCCACCAGCAGCCATCCTGCTGCTAGGCCCTCCCTGCAGGAGCAGCCAAGGGTATATTCATCCTTCCACCACCTTAGAGCCTATTAGTCTGTCCTCTTGCCACCTGTTTTTCACGTGCTTCTAAGTGATCTTCATACATCAGAGACCCACAGGCATTTTAATATCTAGAACCTCAGTGCAAGATGTACGAGCTACCTATGCATGGAGCAGTGCTGCTAGGCCCTCCCTGCAGGAGCAGCCAAGGGTATATTCATCCTTCCACCACCTTAGAGCCTATTAGTCTGTCCTCTTGCCACCTGTTTTTCACGTGCTTCTAAGTGATCTTCATACATCAGAGACCCACAGGCATTTTAATATCTAGAACCTCAGTGCAAGATGTACGAGCTACCTATGCATGGAGCAGGCTGAAACCTGATGTGGATGAAGGAGCCATCACATCTACTGTGTAACCACCACAAGACCCATGGAAAACACCCCAGAGCTAGAAATCCCATTTCATAGCCCTGCTGCCTGCAAAAAGCTGCTGGAGGAGCTGGAGAGGCTGAAGCCTCCTGTCTGTTCCCAAGCGCCGCAGCACTTTGCACTACCTCCCTTCCCGAGGCACATCACCATGAGCTAAGGCATTAACCTTTTGCTTTTACAAGGCAATTAAAAGCCTTTCTGGAGCCCGCCAAACATTACAACACCCAGGAAGCATCAGCCTGACTCACAAAGCTGGCAAAAGCCACCGCTCCCTGCGTTGGGGTTTGGCCCCATCCTTGAGATAAGGATGGCAGCTGGGAGGGGCAAGCAGCTCTATGCACAGAGCAGCTCCAGGTTCATGGCCACTTGCCAAATTCAGGGCAGAGCAGAGCAGGGTCCCCCTCGTTAAGGCAGGGATTGATGATGGAGGGAAGGGATGCCATCCAGAGGGACCTTGACAGGCTGGAGAAGCCGGCCCATGTGAATCTCATGAATTCAGTAAGGTCAAGCACAAGGTCCTGCACTTGGGTCAGGGCAATTCCCAATATCAGTACAGGCTGGGGGATGGATGGATGGATGGATGGAGAGCTGCAGAGAAAGACCTGGAGCTACTGGTGGATGAAAAGTTGGACATGAGTCCCTAACGTGTGTTCACAGCCCAGAAAGCCAATCGTGTCCTGGGTGCATCACCAGCAGCTGGCGATGCTGTTGGTGGAACAGGGGAACAAAGCACCACACCATCATTGCAGCAGCAACTCGGCTCCAGAAACAGGTCCCTCCCTGAGATCCCAGCACGGCGTGGCCAGCAGGTCAAAGGGTTGGTGTTCCCCCTTTAATCTGCTCTTGTGAGACCCCAGCTGGAGCACTCCATCCAGCTCTGGGGCACCTCCTGTTTGAGCATGTCCAGAGCAGGCCATGAAAATGGTCAGAGGGCTGGAACACCTCTGCTACAGAGAAAGGGTGGGAGCATTGAGGTTGTTCAACCTGGAGAAGAGAAGGCTCAGGGGAGACCTTATTGAAGCCTTTCAATATATAAAGGGGGCTCAATATATAAAGGCAAGTTCACAAAGGCTTCTAATTGCATCATAAAAGTGAAAGGATAATTCCTGAGTTCACAGCATTGTGTATCAGGAGGGGAGGTGGTACGATGACAGAGACTTTTTAACAGGGCTTGTAATGACAGAACAAGGGGTAAATGTTTTAAGTTGAAAGAGAGGAGGTTTAGATTGGACAGAACGAAGAAATGCTTTATGGTGAGGGTGGTGGGACGCTGGAACAGGTCACCCAGAGAAGCTGTGGATGCCCCATCTTTGAAAGTGTTCAAGGTCAGGTGGATGGGGCTCTCAGCAACCTGATACAGTGGAAGATGTCCCTGCCCACGGCAAAGGGATTGGAAGAGGTGATCTTTCAAGGTCCCCTCCAACCCAAACCATTCTGTGAGTCTGTGATTATTTTGGGGGACAGGTAGTCGGGGTCTTGAAGCCTGGATGAAGCCTAGTTTGAAACTCCCAGCACCAAGCAGTGAAGCACCCAGGAGGAGGAGGAGAAGCTCCTACTACTTTATGGTGTGGGAACACAGCACTGGGGCTCTGGCACCTCCCCAGATAATCCCACCTGGAGCCAAGCTGGCCCCACTCTCCTCCTCTAATGCTCTGGTCCAGCATGTGGGGACTCAGAGCCTGACCTAGCCCATGTGCCCAGCAGGGCCTAGGGACACACATTTTAAGCAGGCACTTCGAGCCCCCCCCCCTATACCCTTGCCCCAACCCCGTCCCCTCCCAGCTGGTGGCCACTTACCCTGGGGGTGGCAGCGGCAGGGCAGGCAGCAGTCCCCCTCCCGCTGGCGGAAGAAGCCCACCTTGCAGCGCTCGCAGTGGGTGCCCTCCGTGTTGCCCAGGCAGCCGAGGCAGCGGTACCCATTCCCCGTCTCCCTCAGCAGGTACCAGTCGAAGACGCACTGCCTGGACATCCCGTTGCAGTCGCAGACTGGGGAGAGGAGAGAGGCATCTCAAATGGTGCTTAGAGATGAGGACACCAGCTACGAAGCTGTAAACCCACCCTGATGGCCGAGGAGCAAGCCCAGGTGATGCAAACCTCCCCTTCTTGATTTGCTAATCACAAGCCCCACCCCCATGTCTCTGCACTTGCCCCCATGCGTCTGTGTCCATCAGCCACCTCTGTGCCACCAGTGCCCACCCCGTGTTCCACATCCCCACACTTTGGGATGATGTCAGATTTCACTGATAACACAGCTCAGGATGAACAAACTCCACGAGCCAAGCAGCCCAGCTCCACAGTGCAGCATGGCCAGGGATGTTCTCCATCCTTTCAAAGGCCTTCCAGCACAACAAGGTCTTTGAGTAAGCAGAGATGGTTAAAAAAAAAAAACAAACCCTAAACCTTGTTCTGAGAAAAGCATGGGAAACCTTGTTGGTGCCTTCAGGGAAAAGGGAAGGATCTCTGAGGTTACATCTTGCTTCACCTGGCCTCTGACCAGGAGCGAGCCCAGAAGGGAAAGCTCAATGAACTTCCACCAGGTCCCTCCATCCAGGTCTGCAGTGCAAGTATCACCCCCGCGCTTGGCTGGGAGGACGAGGAGCAGTTTGGGACCAAAGGACCTCAGTGGAAGCGTGCCACCCAAGAGGCAGATTAAAAAAAAAAGGTTTTGGGAAGATTACATGAGGTCCCTCCATCCAGGTCTGCAGTGCAAGTGTCCTTCCAGCCAAGCAGGGGGGTGATGAGGAGCGGTTTGTGACCAAAGGAGCTCAGTGGAAGTGTGCCAGCCAAGAGGCAGATTTAAAAAAAAAGGTTTGGGGAAGATTACATGGTCATCTCACCCACTCCTCAGGAAGAAAAGCTGCAGCTGCTCCCATCGCTGCACGAGGAATGCCAGGAAGGACAGGCATGAGATTTTTCATCCCACTCCAGCCAGGGCAGATGGGACCTCTGGAGAGCAGACTGGCAGCTATCCTGCCAGACATGCCTGCTCCAGCACTTTTCATTGCCTTGCCCAGGTCTTCTCTTGAAGCCACCCTCATTTACTTGCTAAGCCCTCAATGGCCAGTACTAGAGTGTTTAAGCCTGAGGACCTTTATTTTGGATGAGATCCTCAGTATCACCGAGGAGAGCAGACACAGTTGAGAGAATGGTTGGCAAAGGCAGGCAGGAGAAAGGAACACCCTGAGGGAAAAAGCAGGGTCTGCAGGGGTGCAGATGGGCTGCTCCGAACCACCCCAATGCTGCCATGGGATCCTCAACCTCCCTCCAAGAAACTATGCTCACCGCTGGCTTCCTTGGGACATGAAAGGTGGTCCCCAGCTGCCCACCCCCAGCTCAGGTAACCTCTAACAGCACAGGCAGGTGGAGGAAATCCAAAAGCAAGCAGAAACCTGCAGCACAGATGGGTTCAGACAGCGGGTTGTACTTGATACACGTGGAGTCTCCTCCTCCCCGTTGCTCTTCTGGCACAGCTTAGCCTGAGGATACAAAGTCCTCGTCCTCCGCCTCTGATTCCCAGGACCAGGAGAAGCCTCCTGCACTCACCACTGAAGCACCCAACGCCCAGTGCTCACACCTGGGCACCGCCTGCCACCCTTGCACACACCCGTTGACACCCACATACCAGACGAAGGCACTCAGCAAGCGGCAGCCAAGCCTGCTGCCAAGAAGAGAGATGACCTCATGCACCACCAAACAGGGAGAGAGATTTTTTCCAGCGCCAGCAAACACGGTTCTCCCCGTGCAGCCTGGCTGCCAGGAGACCGAGACACCCAGCTGCAGGTGGTCTTCTGCCACCCCAACCTGCTGGGAAGGCGACCTACGGGTGCAGAAGTCCTGCTTCTTAGGGTATGAGAAACATCTAGAGCCCTGGTGGATATCACCAGTGACCAAAAGGCAGAGACAATACAAACAGCCCATCGAGAGCAGCAACATGGGACTTTCTCAAGGAATCTGTGCTCACCTTCAGAGTGGGACTGCCTCCAGTCGATCCCACTCCCCATCCCTCCACGCTAAAGCTACAGTACCTCACGTTGGACGGGACCCATAATGATCATCGAGTTAAACTCTGCCCCTGCAACGCCCTACATCTACGTAATCCAGAGGATTCGCTGGGTTGCTAAATTACAGGCACGAGCACCATTCCCCCAGGGAATGAAAACCTTTTTTCAGGTCTTGCTCTAAGGCTGCAGCACACTAAGAGCCAGTTCTCCAGCCCTGGCACAGATTTGGGTCTCACTAGTCCAAAGCCATTTAATGCTATTGCAGATCCTTGCCACCACCTCATCGGCGTAGCTGTTCCTGCTGCTGGTCTTCTCCTGGAAACCTGAGGGCTCAGGCAAGTTAATCTTTACCAAGAGAGAGACACTGCAGTTGCTAACGAGACCGAGTGCCCAGGAGATGCTTGAAGATGATGACCAACTGAGGACAGGATTAGTTTTGTGCCCAGGTGCCCTGAGATCATCCGGTTCTCAGACAGCTGTGGAGAAGAACAGGATCCACAGAAGAAAAGCTTTGCAGCTGGATTTCTTCAGCACTACGTCAGGATGAAGGAGGTCTGTGGCACACACCCAGCAGGACATCATTCTCCCAGCTCTCACCCAGCAGAATAAAATGTGAAAAATGCCCATTTGCTGTGCTGAGGCAAATTCCCACATCAGAAAGTCTCAGAGAAGGAGACAGGCAGTTTGGAGCATCTCTAATTGTCTTAAATTCACAAAACCAGAAAATGAGGTTGGCCCTGGGTCTGTGAGGAGCAGATCCGATAGCCTTGGACATATAAGCTGGTCTGCAAAGACTGTTCCTTTCATCAAGAGATCAATAAAAAGCTTTGCATGCAATGAAGCCTCCACAACAACACAAGCCATTCCCTGCTCTGCCATGGACCAGAAGGCTGTCCCGTCTGCTACCCCAAGTCTTGGGCTTCCCCATCACCCGAATCCACAGATTTCTTCCTGCAGGAAGATCTGCTTCTGTCTCCAGGGGCTCCATCAGCATCAGGAAGGAGAGACCACACACCAGGAACCAAAAGCTGCTATTTGGTGTCTTCTCCTTCCCAACACACTGAGTGAGACACCTTATGGGCACGGTGGAGCTCTGACCTCCACACCTCAACTCTTCCCCGAGGTTCCGCACGGTTGAGACCACAGGCCTCTTGCTCTTTGCTGCTTGGCCAGATCATACGTGCACCCAACACGACTCAAGCAGTTCATCTGCAAGCAGAACGGGATTACGTGTGCTAATTACCAGCACACATCTAGCACCAGGACTGGAGGAGGGGAGACTAACCAATGCCACCGAGGCAGAAACTCTGCTGCAAGACAAAAGCGTGGCTGGTCATTGACTGTCACTCTCAGACACGTGCAGAAACGGGTTCAAGGGTCCCTGGAAAAGCAGCAGTTGCCTACACTTCAGGAAGAAATTTTTTACTATGAGGGTGGTGAGACACTGGAACAGGTTGCCCAGGGAAGTTGTGGATGCCCCATCCCTGGAGGTGTTCCAGGCCAGGCTGGATGGGGCTTTGAGCAACCTGCTCTAGTGGGAGGTGTCCCTGCCCATGGCAGGGGGTTGGAACTAGATGATCTTTGAGGTCCCCTCCAACCCAAACCATTCTATGATTCTACACGCTGCTTCCAACTCAAACCATTCTATGATTCTACATGCTGGTAGGAAGGGGCAGGGGGGAGAAGAATCTACCTCAGTATTTCAAAACCTGCATGCAATTAAGGCTGCTGTAATATTATCCGAGCAGCACGCAAAGCAAATCAGGTCTTTTTTTTTTTTTTTTCTTTTTTTTTTTTTTTAA